TTGGAAGTCTACGCAGAGTTTGCGTCGTCCCCTGGCAGTATCTTCTCTGTGCTTTGCACTATGAGTTATGGCATTAGAGCGTCCTGTGGCTGGTCTTTGAAGGCAGACTCGGTAGCTCTCTTCTGCTTGCGTGTGTGACTTTATGCAGGAAGCAGAATTTCTCCCAGAGGGTCAAGGCTGTAGCAGTTGTGCTCCAGAACAAGGGGGAAATGGTTTCTGCTGGGAGAAAGACACCACAAGCTTCGCAGGCCTGGGTTATCTGTACTTCATCTCTCTGTGTAGGTTGTATTTACTTCAGGTTTCTATGCCTTTTGAAAAGCCGCTTGTGGATGGGATATAATGAGTCAAATGATGAGGGTATATATCTGTGTGTCTGTGTGTGTGTGTGTGTGTGCATGCTAGCACATGTGTCTGTCTCAGCACAGCCTCTTAAATCAGGCTAGTGCAAAGCTTGACTATTTTCCACAAATCCAAGCAGAGTGCCAATTTCCCTGTCCCTAATTTTGACACCTCTAAAACAGATAAAAATAAAACTCGCCTCATACAAGTTGCAATAATTGAGTTGATGAATGTAGAGATCGTGGCAATTAAGAAACAATACTTTATGGCCAGGCAGAAGGTTCAGTAGGTAAGCGCGCTTGCCACCGAGCCTGACTGAGTCTGACACCTTGAATCACATGACTGAAAGGAAAGCTCCACGCGCCTCAAGTTGCTCCCTGACTTCCACACATATGCTGTGGTTTGTGCATATGTGCATTTCCATACACACACAATGACATGAATAGATAAGATATGAAAAAAATATTTGCTATTAATGTACATGTTTTTTAATCTAAAGAAAAAAACACAAAAGTGACTCCATGCTACTTGGGAAAACAGCCTTTTTTTTTTAATTTTTATTTTTCTTTTTAGTTACAATTTGTTAACTCTGTGTCCCAGCTGTATCCCGCTCCCTCATTCCCTCCCCCTCCCCAACTCCCTCCCTGGTCTCCTCCCTGCCCCTTTCCAAGTCCACTGATAGGGGAGGACCTCCTCCCCTTTCATTTGACCCTGTTTTATCAGGTATCTTCAAGGCTGGCTGCAAAGTCCTCCTCTGTGGCCTAACAGGACTGCTCCTCCCCTGGGGCGGGGGGAGGTCAAAGAGTCTGCCCTTGAGATCCTGTTAGAAATAGTCCTTGTTCCTTTTACTTTGGAAAACTACTTGGTTACTGAGCTACCACAGGCCAATCCGAGCGGAAGTTCTATGTTATATCCATACATGGTCCTTGATTGTCAGTCTCAGAAAAGACCCTGTGCCCGGATATATTTGGTACTTGTAGAGTTCCTATCCTTTCCATATCATACTAACTCCCCTTCTTTCATATGATTCCCTGCACTCTGCCAAGGTTTGGTTATGAGTCTTAGTGTCTGCTTTGAAACACTGCTAGGTAGAGTCTTTCAGATGCCTTTTGCGGTAGACTCCTGTCATACATTCAATGCACATCCCATTTGTCTTTCTAAATGAGGATTGATCATCTTCACCCATGTCCACTTTCTTGATTATCTTCTTTAGGTGTGTAGATTTCATTATGTTTATCATATCTTGTAGGTCTATATAAGCGAGTATATACCAAGTTTGTCTTTCTCCTTCTGGGATACTTCACTCAGAATGATCTTTTCTAGATCCCACCATTTGCCTGCAAATTTCATGATTTCCTCCTTTTTGATTGCTGAGTAGTATTCCATTGTGTAAAAATACCACAATTTCTGTATCCATTCCTCTGTTGATGGACATCTGGGTTGTTTCCAAGTTCTGGCTATTACAAATAAAGCTGCTACGAACATGGTTGAACAAATGTCCTTGTTGTGTACTTGAGCAAATTTTGGGTATATACCTAGGAGTGGTATAGCTGGGTCTTGAGGTAGCACTACTCCTAGTTGTCTGAGAAAGCGCCAGATTGACTTCCAAAGTGGTTGAACCAGTTTACATTCCCACCAGCAATGGAGGAGAGTTCCCTTTTCTCCACAACCTCTCCAGCATGTGCTATCACTTGAGTTTTTCATCTTGGCCATTCTGATGGGTGTAAGGTGAAATCTCAGGGTCGTTTTGATTTGCATTTCCCTAATGGCTAATGAGGTTGAGCATTTCTTTAAGTGTTTCTCTGCCATTCGATGTTCCTCTTTCGAGAATTCTCTGTTTAGCTCTGTTCCCCATTTTTTAAGTGGATTACTTGGTTTGTTGCTTTTCTGCTTCTTTAGTTCTTTATATATACTGGATATTAGCCCTCTGTCAGATAAAGGGTTGGTGAAGATTCTTTCCCAATCTGTAGGCATTCATTTTGTTTTGATGACTGTGTCTTTTGCTTTACAGAAGCTTTTCAGTTTCATGAGGTCCCATTTATTGATTGTTGCTCTTAGAGCCTGTGCTGTTGGTGTTCTGTTCAGGAAGTTGTCTCCTGTGCCAATGAGTTCTAGGCTGTTCCCCACTTTTTTTTCCAACTGATTTAGAGTATCTGGTTTTATGTTGAGGTCCTTGATCCACTTTGACTTTAGTTTTGTGCAGGGTGATAAATATGGATCTATTTTCATTTTTCTGCATGTAGACATCCAGTTGGACTAGCACCATTTGTTGAATATACTGTCTTTTTTTCCATTTAACGGATTTGGCTTCTTTGTCAAATACCGAGTATTCATAGGTGTGTGGGTTTATTTCTGGGTCTTCTATGCGGTTCCATTGATCCTCCTTTCTGTTTTCTATGCCAATACCATGCAGTTTTTATTGCTGTTGCCCTGTAGTACAGCTTGAGATCGGGGATGGAGATACCTCATCCCCATGATCTGTTGTTGTACAGGATCGTTTTGGAGATTCTGGGTTTTTTGTTTCTCCATATGAAGCTGAGAATCTTTTTTTCAAGGTCTGTAAAGAATTGAGTTGGTATTTTGATGGGAATTGCATTGAATCTGTAGATTGCTTTTGGCAGGATGGCCATTTTCACAATGTTAATCCTACCAATCCATGAGCACGGGAGATCTTTCCATCTTCTGAGATCTTCTTCGATTTCTTTCTTCAGAGACTTGAAGTTTTTCTCAAGCAGGTTTTCACTTGCTTGGTTAGAGTCACACCAAGGTACTTTATGTTATTAGTGGCTATTGTGAAGGGTGTTGTTTCCCTAATTTCTTTCTCAGCCTTTTTGTCTTTGGTGTACAGGAGGGCTTCTGATTTTTTTGAGTTGATTTTGTATCCTGCCACTTTGCTGAAGGTGTTTATCAGCTGAAGGAGTTCTCTGGTTGAATTTTTGGGGTCGCTCATGTATACTATCATATCATCTGCAAATAGTGACACTTTGACCTCTTCCTTTCTGATTTGTATCCCCTTGATCTCCTTTAGTTGTCTTATTGCTCTGGCTAGGACTTCAAGTACTATGTTGAAGAAATATGGAGACAGTGGGCAGCCTTGTCTTGTCCCTGATTTCAGTGGGATTGATTTAAGTTTCTCTCCATTGAGTTTGATGTTGGCTATAGGCTTGCTGTATATTGCCTTTACTATCTTTAGGTATGTGCCTTGTATCCCTGATCTCTCCAAGACTTTAAACATGAATGGGTGTTGGACTTTGTGAAATGCTTTTTCGGCATCTAAGGAGATGATCATGTGGTTTTTCTCCTTCATTTTGTTTATGTGGTGGATTACATTGATGGATTTCCATATGTTGAACCACCCTTGCATGCGTGGGATGAAGCCTACTTGGTCATGGTGGATGTTATCTTTGATGTGTTCTTGGATTCGGTTTGCAAGTATTTTATTGAGTATTTTTGCATCAATGTTCATAAGAGAGATAGGTCTGAAGTTCTCTTTTTTTGTTGGATCTTTGTGTGGTTTAGGTATCAAGGTGACTGTGGCTTCATAAAATGAGTTTGGTAGTGTTCCTTCTGTTTCTATTTTGTGGAATAGTTTGAGGAGAATTGGTGTTAGCACTTCTTTGAAGGTCTTGTAGAATTCTGCACTGAAGCCATCTGGTCCAGGGCTTTTTTTGGAGGGGAGACTGTTAATGACTGCTTCAAGGAAAACAGCCTTTAAAATGAATTAAATTTGTAGCAAATAAAAAACTGCTCTTAAAGTTAAAATAAGCACCATCTTTAAGAAATCAAGTAAGAATCAACTTTACTTTTATGGAAAGGAGAAAGCTGTCTAGAAGTCAACCACATAGTGAAGCACACTGGGAATTAAATTCTGATGGATAGATGTACAAGGCAAAAGGGAACACAGGAGACATGGTGTCTTTTGTTTCTGGGCCTTTCAAAGGACTTGGACTTTTTATTGTTGTTGTTTTGTTATTGTCTCCCTTTTTGGAAAATAATCACTTGCTCAGAAAAGATGATATATGCCACTATACTTCTGCAACAAGGAGTTTCCTAGCTGAACAGCCATTATCTTTCTCTTTAAAGGCAACCATTTAGTACAACCAAGAAAAGTAAGTCTGGTTGTTATAATTATTTTCACAACACTACTGTAAAACCATTTTTACAAAGTTCTTTTTTTATTTTTGCTTTTCTACCAAATAGCAAATATAGGTAGGTATTCAAAGATGTGTATTTTCAAAATATACATCTGTAAGTGTTACTTTAAGTTTAATAAGAAAAATATAATGATTTAATTTTTATTTACAAGAGCTGATCATTTACAACTTCTACACCAAGAGCATTTATCATTGCCAAGTGACCTTTATTTATTCAACAAATACTAATTGAATGGTACCCAGGACCATATTAGCTACCAGCCCTACTGATAACTCATCACTTCAGCTTTCCTAATGTTGAAAAGACTATACAAAAGAAATTAACCCAGTTAAATGCTTTTTTCTCAAGGGAGTGAAAATTTGGACTGCACTGGGACTTATTATTCTAATAGTTAGCTGTTCTCTGTTTTTCTGGATCATTCTAAGAATGACCAGCTCCTCTCGTTCTCTCTATAATGTGCTGGGTTAAGTCTGTTCTGCTTAGTAATGTATGCTTTCTGTTTTGAGGGTGAGCCTGGGTCACCTGGAACAGCCGGGCAAAGTGGACTGCCAGGACCAAAGGTGGGTACTGATGAAGGTGTGCACCGTCTTCCGTGGCATGGTTCCTGCGCAGTTGTAAGCTGTCACAGTTTGTAAATTATCCTTCTGGTTGTAGTCACCTAGAATGTTTCACCGGTGGCATAATATGCTGTCATAGAACTTGGTAACTAATGACTAAATTATGTTTATGATTGTCATTAGCATTAGACATGCAGAAAAAGAAATAGGATATGATTGTCCAAAACCTTTCCCTTGGGGCTGTGAAGATGATAGCACAGCAGTTAGGAGCACTTGCTGCTCTTGCAGAGGATGTGAGTTCAATTCTCGGTACCCACATAACAGCTCCTCATGACCCTTTGGCAAGTAACTTCAGTCCCAAAAGATCTAATGCCCTCTTCTGGCCTCAGAGGGCAACAGGAACACACGGTACACAAACACACATGCAAGCAAAACACCCATAAAATAATTTTAAAGAAATATATCTTGTGGGGTAATTAAGTAGCATAAGAAAGCCTTCAAAATGACGACTGTCATTTCAGTCCTGAATAAGATGTGAGAACATAGGTTATGTTCACACTGCCTAAAACACACATATTACCAAGCCCCACTACATATGACATCCACAGAGAAAAAGATGGCTTTTTCTCAAGCTTTGGCCACCGTCAGCTTCTACACAACATGGCCAGCTAGTCAGACAAAGAACAGAGTAAAGATGTGGTGTGTTTAGAATTAAAAAGTGGATATAGTTTGGATTACTAAGTGGGGAAAAATGTAATGAGGATTTTATTTTTTTTTTTTGGATTGCCTGTTTTCTTGGTTTCTTGAAGAACAAATGAATCCGTTAAATCAAAAAAGATTGGTGACAGTTTAGTTTAAGCCGTGCAGGCAGACAAATCCCAAATCCTTTGATGAGTGAACACCCCTTGAAGCACAAAACTGATGTCTAATCCCATCAGCTGTGCTGGTGTGGGTCTGTACCCACAGATGCCTGTCAGCTGATTTCACACATCACGCTGCTATTTAGGTGCTGTGGACAGACCTAAAATTCATAGACCTGCCCTTTTCGTTTGTCCTGGAGGAGAAGAAAGAAAATACTCCTTCTGGGAATCCAGCCCTCTTCTGTCTTCCTCCCTCGCTCATCCTTTACTGAATGGTATACTTTACGAGATGCCTCACTACAGCGGTAGGAGCTGATGTTGGAGCTGTAGCCACAGTGCTGTTTCTGTGTTGCCTGGCAATGCAGCCCTGAGGATGCGTGTTGAGTGCTGAAAGTCATCAGAAATGCAGACAGCCAAGGGGTCATCAGGATAAGTGCCAGAGAATGAAGAGTTTTGCCTCCAGACTGGCCTCTAGACTGGGTTCTTTTAATTTAGTTTTCTTTTTCCCACAATCATCTCCTTATACCATTTTTAAGCAGTCTGGTCTCATGGCAACGCTTACTCAAGCCTCCCATCAGGAAATATCATCACAATGTGTATGCTCTTTAGAACTCTCCCTGATCCGTCCCCCTGCCCTTTCCTAGAGAAATAAAAGAGAAGTGCAATCCTCTTCAGAATACAGTTTTGTATTTTAAGCCTTGTGTTTTCCTTGTCATCGTGTATAGCAAGAACCTTGCTGACCAAAGCTCTGTTCCATTCTTATGTCCTGATCCGCAACACATCGCTTACTACCGGTAACGGAATTGATGGTGTTGTCGAAGGGTCCAAGTGCTGCACTGAGGGTTTATGATCATGTCCAAGAACAGAGATTGAAGAACTGTACCAGGGGTCAGCCCTGAAGTAACCCAGGCACTAAAACGTTTTTGCTAACCTGGATATCAAGTTGCCACACTATTGTTCCCCCTTAATGTCCCAGCCCATTCCCGAGTGACCTCCTTCTTTTCCTGCATAGATCATTACCGTTATAGAAGTAAGGACTTGAAGTTAGTATTGGTATCTATCTGGACCCAATTCTTCTGGACACTTTTGCAATATGTTTTCATATAGAAACCCCAAAGCCAAAGCAGGCAGTGCCCTATATAACCCACTTAGTGCCCTCAGTGTGTGTTTGGCATCTGCTTTGTCTGGCATTGCTTGCTAGCTAGCTCTTCACTAATGTCTCACTATCTCTGTTTTTGTGCTTAGGGAGAACCTGGGAAAGAAGGAGAAAAGGTAAGGAGGCTTCTGTCTGTGTTCCTCACCCCACTTCTCCTGAGCTACACCCAAACTAGATGGGTGGACAGACACACAAATGGATGGACCGATAGTTATAAGTGGAGATTGGGGGAGGGGCCAATAAGTGTTCATTTGCCTGTCTTTCAGACTGTCAAATAGTGGAAAAAGAAAATACGGGCTTTTTCCCCCCTTCCATATAAAGTTTGAGTTTCTGGTGGAAAGGAAGGGGAAAGGGGACAAACACCGAATGCCAGGGTTTCCAGTGGCTTTCAGAACCCACCTAGCCCTGTAAAAACCCACTCTGCATACGTGCTGATGCCATTCTGATACCTTCCTAATGATCTACAGAAAGCGTCCCCAAGGTTTACCTGCAGCAGTTATCTCAAAGTGAGCCCCACAAAGAATTTGTCAAAACCAGAAAAGGGAACAAATGGAGAGTGGGGGTGGGGGAGAGGACCTCCTTAGATGCCTCCCGCACTCCTTGCAGATCTGTCTCAACAGTTTCCAGAGTCCTAGGTTTCCACTGCTCCCAACTGCACTGGTGTTTGCGTGCTTCCCTCAGTGAAGAGCTACTTGGGTGCTATGACACACTGTGCTCTTCCTAAGTGACTTTTCTGACAGATACTATAACCCTTCTTGCAAAAGAAGTTCATCAAAAGATCAGAAAGATATTCCTCGATTTAACTGATTTTTTTTGGGGGGGGGCTTATTAAGCAGAAAGAAGGCAATCTTAAATTGGAAGATGAGCAAAATAGGGGTGTAAAAGGACATTCAGAGAGGGATAGTCAAGCTCTTTACTTCACATCTGCTCTGAACCCTCTGAGTCTGGTTTCCTAACAAGGAGATCGGCGTTTTAAAAGGGGTTTTCAGGCCAATTTCTAAAAAGCGTGTGAGTAGGCCGCCTATCTACACGCCTATAGTACACGACCAGTATGCTTTGGGGCATAAAGTCAGTTCATGGTAATTAACTTGAAATTAATTAGTCATCAAATAACTGCTTCATGTAGAAACCGGGGAGGAGGAGGGTTGATCAGATGGGGTGCTTGCCTCCTGTAGAGCATCCGTCACTGCAGACAGGCGCTGGAGCAGGTTAAGTTCTTGTTTATTTAAAATGGAAAAAGGAACTTTAGAGAGGAAAGGTGAGTCTCTCTCTTCTATTTTCTCCTTCTTGACAAACCACAACTGAGAGTTTCGCTCCCATTTTGTGGAAGTGTTTAAGTGGTAGAAAATGACCTCTCCTGAAGCAGCCCAGCATAGGAATGCCACAAACGCCAAGGAACTGGTACCTCCAACAGCAAGGATTGCTGTTTCAGGATGTGCTGGCATGGTTTGTGACGCTCTACATGGGGCAGGACTTAGTTCTTACAGTTATGTGGTATATCTTTATTCTCACGTTAGCCAAGAGTAGCGCAGGTCAAAGAGCGTTGCACTTGGCAGTCAGTGCTAGACTCGGACTGAATCTAGAATCCATGATGCTGCCTCTCGTACGTGCTGTGCACACCTTAGCAGGGCAAAGCACAGGGATAAAGTGAAAACCTTTCCTGTTTCACTGCCTTGTGGGTAGGCAGGAGTCACTGGAAGAATGCGGAATTAACCAGAGATGCACACATCCCCCTAACTCAGTTTACTATGATTTAGGAGAGAAGCTATCTAGTAAAGATATTTTTAAAAATCCCTTTTACACATGCCATCCGTGGAACCACAAGTCGATAAACACTCAGGCCACAGGCTTTGGAGACCATAGCATTCACTTGGAAGCCCCAGGGTGAGCCTTGATTGGTTTGACGACAAGTAGAATTTATGCAGCCTGTGGGGTAAAAAGCAGGCTGGCATGGCGTGAGAAAGGGCACAGAAGTGACCAACAGAAGTGCCGTGGCATACTGTGGGAAATGCCAGGAGAGCCTTGCTATGGGGAACTTTGGGCCAAGGGGGGAAAAATGAGACTGAGGAAGGGAGACTTGGTGTCCGCATCAACGATGAGAAGGCTGACATATAAGCCAGTGCTTTGTGCTAATTCTGTGGTGTTTAAAAGTACTCCGCCATGTTCATTGTAATAAAGGTAAGCACACTGGCATCAGTCCAGTCAAGCTGAAGTTCGCTGGCTGTGTAAACATTTACAGGAGACTGCAATGGAGAATGTTCTTTCCTTAAAGTCACCACTATATTTCAGTGTGTCGCTTTGCCCTCTTCTCAGGGAGATGCTGGAGAAAATGGCCCCAAAGGTGATGCAGGTGAAAAGGTACAGTCTTGTGAAATATGGAAGGGCGTGCACATGAGCAGGAATATTATTGGATGCATATGAAGTTGGGGGATTTGAAAGACAGCGTCAGGGAGAAAACTCCCAGGTTAGAAAAGAGTTTGATGTAAAAAGCAATCATTCCGTATCCTATCCACAAGTTTAAATATTCTGAAAGCAAAGTGGCTTGTCAAAATTTCTAGAAAATAATTAAATTTCCAACCATAGGTCTTTCAAGCAATGAACGCGCTTACTCATGTATCAGCGTGTCTTCACAGAGACCTGGAATGGAGGTTTCTAAATTGATTTGGTTTGTTCTAGCTTTAGAAGGAGGTGTGTTGGTAGAGGATAAAAGTTTAAAGTTCAGTCTTAAGTTAATAGCACTTAATTGCAGGGTTCATGTCAGGAACTCCGGCTATTATGTCAGCCTCGGCAGTCTTCCCCTTCTTTGGTCTTTGAAACACTGGTCAGCATTTCAAGCGCATGCGTCCCTGGTCTGCTTCTGCTTCATCTCTTCTATCCCACCAGTCTGTCATCATGGTGTTGGCTCAAGTTTGTGTTTTGACATCCCTGACCTCATGACACTGTGACATCAAAAGGATGTTTTTCTTCACGTGTGCAATGTGTTTCGACCTGGGGAGAAAACTCTGTAAGAAGCTGAGTACAGAATCAAAACGCACGGATTTTAGTGGGAACCAAGTGAAGGAGCGGATGAATGAGGGGATTATTCATTCAGGCTTACAGTTGAGAGCGAGGCTGTTCCATTTTGAAAATTATGACTGTACAGATGGATAATGGCTAGTCGTAAAAACATGCTCATAAAATATATAGAAACTTACTTATCTTTCTCCATCTCATAAATATTAATGCAAATATGGCATAGGGGTGGAAACAAATTAATGTCACTAAGTAGCAACTATTTGTGTTTGAGAAACAGTTTGAATTTAGGGTAGATTCTGTTTCTTGTAGACCAGCGTGCCTTGGCCTCAGCATTGGTGAGAGTATGGACTAGATAATTCCTCACTGTGAAGCTGGCAGGCGAATCTCGACCTCTATGCTTTGTGAACTACCCTTAGCAGCCCTGTTTCAGAACTACTGCTGTAGCTGTATCTTTTTAGCTGTCAAAAGTAAATATCAAGCTATAGTCAAATATGAAATGGAAATGTTTAGTGCCAACAAGAGCATGGATGCTCCTGGCTACTTACTCTCAGATCAGTATCTGAAACCCTGGATGATGATATATTTAGCTTTTATCCCTTTGTCCAAAAGCAGAGATCAGCCAGCTTGTTCTATAAATTAATATTTTAGGCATTGTAGGCCATATAGTCTCTGGCACAACTCCTTGGTTCTATTGTAACAGAATGCAGCCACAGAAAACATGCAAAATAAACGAGTGGGGCCTTGCTCAAAATAAATTTTTTTCTGGGCATGGTGATACTATGTAATTTTCATGGATTTTGTAATATTGTTGTTATTTTGATTCTTTAAACCATTTAAAAATGTAAAAGCCATGCTTAGTGAATCTCACAAGTATCCAGCAAGATTTGACTACAGTAGGCAAGCTTCGCTTAAGACAAAGGAAATACTGTGCACAGAAGGCAGTTTCTTCAAACAACAACAACAAAAAAATATATATATATATAAAATTTGAACTGTACCTATGTGAATTTAAGTAGAGTGTTTTATGCTTTAGAAGATGTGTTTTTAAAACTTCAGTTTTGGAATGTAGGCCAGTAATTGTTTCTCTACTCGCACAGGTTTTGAAATTTAATTTTGTAACAGTAAAACAATGTTTTTCCTTGAAAGGACCCAAGTGTCTCAAAGGAATGTTGTTCCTACTTTATACATTAATGCAAATCAGTGAGCATACTGACTCACACATCATAAACTCTCAATAAATACTAACTTTTCCTACCACGTGGAAATTGAAATCAACGACATGGTTGTTTTTCTTTCCCTTTTTTTTATCAAAAAATTTTATTGCTCAGCTGAAATTAAGTACAAGAAATGTCTCAGCTAAAGCGGAAATCGTTTCTATAAACTTTCAGTGGGTCTAAACAGGGGATTGTAAATAGCAATCTGTAACGTGTATAATATGTAATCTGACCCACAGCATTTGTCCCAAGAATGTAGTGATTGGAATATAATTTTTGATGTGTTTTTTAAACATTTCCTGCTCCTGTCATATAATTTGTTTCCAGCATGTTGGAAACACTCTTCTTGTGGCCTTTGTCTTCAGCATGTGAAACTCATTCATCACTTTCCAACTTTGAGGGGTTAAAAAAACCAAGCTTCTTTTCTGCTATTGATGTAGTAAATTACGTCATTGACTGATTCACTTTAATGGATTTTTCCCCCCTTTTGATCCAACTCAGCACATTCGGATGGTAAAGCGATCTGAGCCTTTCCAGACTGGTCATCTGGAAATGCTGGGAGCCATAAAACCACAGACTGGGCCAGGGCTTCTATGTGGCTAGCAACCCAGTACTTAAAGAATAGCTCGCCAAAGACCAGTTTCGGTCACGGGTACGGTTACTATGGAAGCATCGTACTCTACTCTTCGGAGTGTTAATTCTGCCAACAAATGTTGAAATGGATTTCTTATCCACTGCGTACGGGTGTCCATATAGCTCACTAAACAGTGGGACCACTCAGGGGGACGCTGTGTGCTGTTATCGTCCATCTTTACCCTATTGGTACGAGCTGCCTGTGGCTTCCTTTCCTTTGCTCCCATGGCCTCCATTCCTGTGTATGCGCTGCCTCCTTGCTTAGCACCTTTGAACTCAAGCTGCTGGCATTTTACAAGGCATGGTGCATTTGCGCTTACCAACCAACCTGTCTTAAAACTGGAGGCCTGTGCTAAGAGAGACTCCAGGGCAGTCAGTACCTGGTCCTTTCTGATGGCGCCCGTGCCACTCTGTCTAGATCTCTGCTTTCTGCCTTCCTCCTCCCAGCTCCTCAGCTCCATCTTCTAGCTTTGTTCAGTCTTCAGTCTTCTGCGGCTTGGATTTACACATCATTTCCCAAGGAAGCTCTTTAGTCTCCTAAACTGCTTAGGTCATCCCCTGTATACTTGAACGGTAACCTGTAATTCTACTCATTTACTGGACACCGAGCTCAGTAGAAAAGAAGCAAACAAATCCCCTGGAAAGAAAGAAAGAGAGAGAGAGAGAGAGAGGGGAAGAAAGGAAGGAAGGAAGGAAGGAAGGAAGGAAGGAAGGAAGGAAGGAAGGAAGGAAGGAAGGAAGGAAGAAAGAAAGGGTTTATTTGGCTCATAATTTGAAGTTCTGGTCCATCACTGTGGGGAGGTCAAGACCTGAAGCAGCTGGTCACATTCCAGGTTCAGTCAAGAGCAGAGAGTGTACACATGCACCCACCAACTCTTGTCTCTGTTCCCTCCATCCAAGGTCTAGCCTGTGAAACCACTGTTCCCTCCATCCAAGGTCTAGCCTGTGAAACCACGCTCTCCACATTCAGCGTGGGTCACTCTACTTCAGTTAAACCATTTAAGAAAACCTACCTAATCTAAACAACTCCTCATTGAAACTCCTTTCCCAAGAGCTTCCATATTGTCAACTTGACGAAACCAGCCATCATAGCTTCATCCTTTGTCAACGTGACACCCAAGCACATCATTTTAAAACCATAATCTTCCAACCTTTGTTCCCAAAGTCTGTTCTAGTACTACTGCTAATCCAAGTTTCTGGAACATTACTGTAAAATAATAAATGCTATTTGAAAAAAAATCTTATATTTTTTAATCTTGAACAACTTTATATTTTCTTTTTTCTTTTTATTAATTACAGTTTATTCATTTTGTATCCCACCTTTAGCTCACAACTTTATATTTTCATTGAATGGCAGAAAGTTTCTATAACCTGCATTTGTTTATTCTCTTTATTTACATATGCATATTTAATTACTTGCTGAGTACTTTGTTTGAAAACAATTATATAAAAAAACAGCACTTGGCTGAAAGTGAAATACAGTAAAGTTTCTGGGTATAGTGATACTCGCCTCTAATCCCAGCACTTGGAAGGTAGAGGCAAGCAGATCTTTGTGAGTTCAAGGCCACCCTGGTCTATGAAGTGAGGCCCTGTCTCAAAAACAAAACAAAACAAGCAAAACAAAACACAGTAAAGTCAAATTCATTTCTATCACAGAACTTCTCCCTCTGTGGCTTACCAATGACTAATGAAGCTAGGAGCATATATAAGCCATAGCTGGAGGGCTGTTTCCTGCTCCCACTTTATTTCAGATATTTGCAACATTAGCCCTTCCAGCAGTTGCCTTGCTCTTAAACGTTACAGAAATTCCTGGAGATTTCACAGTTCTGCGTCTTTAAAAAGAGAGTGAAGGGATGACTATGAGTTGTCCATCAAACGAAGCCTCTGCCTCTCAGCTTTCCACAAGTAATTTCCAGCCTTTCACATGGCAAACCTTTTCTTCCCATCTGCTTTCCTCGAGAACAAAACATAGATTTTGTTCTCTAGGTTAGCCAAATACTTTGCATTAAAATGCTGAGAGAAAAAAAAAAAAAAGTTACACATTTTCTCTAGCCTTTATGGTCCATTGCCAAAAATGATATAAGCCAATAATCTTTTTTAAAAAAATTCTAATAAAAAGAACAAACATGGATGTACAGTTGGGAAAGCTCATAACTCTCTTCACTTGTAGCTGCTTCAACTTCCTCATCCACTAAGTGGAAGTGGCAATGCTTTCCCAAACTGGGATAAAAAAGACAGAGGAGCTTTGCAAAGTCAAATTGTTTTTATTAATACAAAGGTCATGTTGTGAAAAATGTTGCAAACTGGTTCATTAATTTTGATCGCTCCCAGACTTAGGGTAGACTTAGAAATAGAAACAAGTATTACTGTCTTCACCACATTTGTTTCAACCCCCATTTGGAACTCATTTGAATGTTAATGGCTGGGCAGAGGAGACTTGTTCATACAATATTTAGAGTCCACTTCTTTGTTTAGCCACATTTTAATTTTTTTTCCTGGGTAAATGGCAATTACAGATGTCATAGAAATTCACATGTGTACTTTTTTCCTCAACAAACTAAATTTACTGTTTCCTTTTCCTTCCTAAGCCCCTGTTTTTTCCTTCCTAAAGGCCTTTACTCATTTTGATCTTTGACTGCTGACCCAATTTAAAAAAAAAATGGTTTTAGACATTCACTCACCATGTGTGTGTTGAGAACAGACTCTGCTCAGACACAGAATGCAAGTGGATGCAGGGTCTGTCCACACACAGCTGGCTGGCTGCTGACAGGACACACGATGGATGTGTGGCAGCATCAACAGGCGATTACAACACAAGCTGTGTCAGACACAAACAAACCTTGAAGCTATCTAGTAGGGTGTGCTCATGGTGGGCCACCTGTGGGGTGAGCTGGTAAAGGGTTTCTGGAGGCAAAGCCATATAAACCAAGACCTAAAGCGTGATGTACCATCATAGGAAGACAAGAGCAGAAATGAAGAAAGGGGCCATATTCCAGTCAGTCAGTGCTCAGGGGCCTGAGGCCTTTGTCCGTCTGTCTGTCTGTCTGTCTGTAAGAGAGATTGATGAACAGCCTCTGGACTCTAGAACAAGGGAAAATACCCCTGGACCTGCTTGGGTATTTGTGCAGATGAGAGTTGAGGGAATCTCAGCACTGGTTGGTTTCCTCTTCTGTTGTCTAGTGGCAGTCTCCTCCTTTTCTTTTTCCTTCTTGAATTTTCATAGGATAGAGAAGGCTAGAATGAGATGGGGAGTCTAGACCCTTTACTGCCTCATTTACAAACAAGAAACAGTCTCACCACTTCCCCATGCTCCTGTCTGTACTGATTATGTCATGAGTGGAGTCATCCTTCATGAAATCTGGACAAACACAGTCTCTTTTAAGAAGCCAGATTCCCCCCTGAATAGCCATTCCTTTACCCACCTCTATATCAGAACTAACATCTGGTAAGTAGCAGATAAAAACCTTTTTGGAACCTATTAACTTAGAAGACCTTCCACCAACCCAAGAGCTAAGAATGTCATCACATAGCATCTGAGGCCGTTGGAAAAGCTTCCCCCATCTTGCTGTAACCACCTCTGATAGCCCCACCAATATATGCCTTGACTTATGACTTTCTTTGTCCTGTAAAGCTATAAAGTTTCATGAAACTGCTTCCACACTGGAACATGGAATGTAGGGTACCTGTCCTATATCTGTACACCTGGGCCGTGGTCATTCAAGGTGGCTCCAGAATAAGCTGTTTCTTGGTATCTTTTAAAAGTTAAAAGTCAGATTCTATCTCAACACTTTGTTAGCCTCTGCATGTATTCCCATTACCCACAAGTCATTCATCATCCTGTGACTCCCCAGTGACCAAGTTATGGTGCAATGAGTGTAAAGCAGGAAAAGGCATGCTCATGCTTCATGACGGAAACCAACTGGCCTGCAGCATGGCTTTTGCAACTCAACGTCATTAACCCTTTGACTTCATCTGCTGAACCTTGACCTTCCAAAGACCAAGAAGGGCAGGAAATCCCTCTAAATGATAGCCCGTGACATTAATAAATCCCAGAAGCTAAGAAAAGCCAAAGTTTCAAGACCCTAAATTATAATTCACTACTTTGGAATATATTTTTTGGAGTCCTATTAAGGAAATAGCTTCATGTTTATTTATTTTTATTTATTTCAAGGAATATAGTCTCTTCATGTTTTATATTCAAAGTAAGCCCTTGCTTTTAAGCAGGGCATGGTTTTTATTACCATTTAATGTCTGGACCTATTGATGTGCAAAGTCTTGTGAGGCACAATTAGGCCCATAAGCCATGGAGTTCCACTAAGCATCCAAGTGGAGAATGTCTGCCTATGTGTGTGTTTGTGCTGTTTTCTCAGTACTTGCAGATAATATCTCGTGGGTTTAATTTTAGGGTGACCCTGGATCATCTGCTGCAGGAATTAAGGTAACTGTAGCCTTGCATGTGTTTCTATCATGGGAATCATGGTTTTGACTTAATGAGTCCCTTTTCTCTTCACTTTACCAGCCTTAATGGTTATATCTGGTCCAGTCCTCTGGCAACAGCTTCCAAACACAACAGGGAAATCCCAGGCAGCCTTAATAGGCTTACCTTCTTCTCTCCCACGTTTCCTTGGTGTCCAAGAAATGTGTATTTATGTGTGCAAACTAGACAAACTCACAGCAATTCCCTATGTGTAATGTGATGGAGAGTAAGAAAATGATATGCATAAAATGTACATAATCAAGTAGGAGGTTGGATCGTTATTTGTAGTTTTCAAATTTTCTTCTAAGACTGCACTGTTCATATTTGGTTTTCTTTGCCCAGGGAGAACCTGGAGAATCTGGTCGTCCAGGGCAAAAGGTAATATCTCTCTATCTTAGGCATGTTTTTTACATCTCTCCATGATCAGTATTTCCCAGCACTGTCATCTAATATGGAAATGTCTATTGCACAATCGCAGTTTTCATGCTTTGCTCAATGTTACTGGTTGCTTTCCATTTTAAAGTTCTTGATGCCAAGCATAGCAAAGTGTGAAAACAAACTCTGTATGTACTCAGCTGTCTGAAACTAACAAATCTCAACTGAGCTGGAATGCCAGCTAGTTGTCTTGCATGCTTAGAGGTAATCTGCATGTTTCTATCTTTCATGCAAAAGAATTTTTTAAAAAAGAATATATGCTAAACAGTCTCAATGGAGAATGATGGACAGTTCTTTAAAAATGTCCCTCTTCCTCCTTTCATTGCTGATGACTTATATGTTACTCTAACCTGTGCCAGGCATGTTGCCTTATGGAAGCTAAATTCATTTAAGGAACTAAATTTTAATTAGCGACACTAGCCAATACCACTTTCACTAACCAAGCCGTGGATGCATTAAACTTATCATTTGTGCTTCTGCACTGAATATGTTTGTGCTCATTTTCCATCTGAGTCTGAGGCAAGACACAAATGTTAGCAGTTTCTCAGCTTGAGCATCTGGGTATCAGTGCCCAGCACAACCAAACCTCACATGACAGACAAAAGAAATTGTGAATCCATGAGATAAATTCCTTAAAACTATGACCTTTCCTTTGCCCAGATGTAACTGATGTTGTAGACAAAATATAAATTAGGACATAGAACGCACTTCATTGGCAGAGAGGGAAAGATAACAAATCCTATTGCAGTAGCTTGGAATCTAAGATTGAGAGCTTGCTGTATCGTCAGTATTCTTGAAGTCATCGAGAGAGCTTTTATTTAAGCATTTGGGATGGAAGTAATTTTTTCATGGATTTTAAACATTTCTCTAATTTAATAAAAAAATATTTTTTTTCTCTCAAAATGGAGAATCTCAGAGTTTAGTTTCATCAGCTCAACTCCAGTTGAGACTAAGAATCTGGCTCACCTTTTCAGCCCTTCCTACTCTTATCTATCTCTTGGTCTTCAGTTCCCAGTTCAATTCAAGAATCCACACAAAATATTTTAAATAAATGAGTTGTAGTAATGCCTGTTTTCCTCCTCTCCCTGGCTAATCTAGAGCTCATAACTCACAGCTTTCTTTGCCAGTAGCAGACACACACAGCCAATCACACAGATTACTCTTTAGTGTGTTTTGGTGAAATATTTCAAATGCCTTTTGGGAATGAACCTTGAGTGTCACAGTGTCTTTCTGTGGCTCCTTTACGTGGTGATATCCTTTCACAAACATGCTAGCCTTTCCCCTCAGGCTGATTTTTCTCTTTGAGAAAGTGCTCAAACTTTTCAGTATATGTGATCCCCACCCCCTTCTTTAGCATGGGCACAGAAAAAGGGTGAATATCTGAACCTGCTAATTTTTTTCCCCCTTCACAGACCTTTTCATTAGTATCATAGCAGACAGTCCTCGCTGACCTTTTACAGAGAAAAGAGCTGGGGTTACTGATAATAGCAATCTATGGCCTACTTCATTTTGAAAAACCAACTGATCTTCTCAAATGATATATGACCTTTGAGTCCCTTCATTTTTAAAAATTAACGATTTTACTTAAATTACCCTCTGTATTTGTGATTTGTTAAAAGTAATGTCAGCAGGAGCCAGGCTTGGCAGCATGAGCCTCTAGCCCAGCACTCAGGGTGCTGCAGCAGCAGGAAGACCTGGAGTTCAACACTGACCTGCCTTTCAAGAGCCTGAATCCCAAGAAGGGAGGGGGCTGGTGAGATGGCTCGGAGGGTGAAGGTGCCTGCTGCCAACCCTGATGCCCTGAGTTTCATCCTAGAACCCACATGGTGGAAGAAGAAAAATGAGTCATGCAAGTTGTCCTCTGGCTCGCATGCGCGCACACATACACACACACACACACACACACACACACACCAATGAATAAATAAATAGGAAATCTTTTTTCTTCTTTAATTAAAGGAAGGGGTGAACCTGGAAAGCATCTCTAAAACACAAGCCAAAACAAGCCTCGGCAATCTTGTGTAGGCTCCACTGTTCCCACAGTGCAAGAACCAAGTTGGCCTTCAGTTCCTTGGCATAATATTGCATTATTGTAATTGGTTGTAAAGATAACTTAGATTCATTCTGGACATTTACAGCTTGCAGGCAGAAACACTGGCTTCCCTTTGCCTTTTACCCAAACTTAGATTTAAATTACATTTACAGGAGCTTTAGGTTGACAGTGACCTGAACCAAATAGGATCCTTTTATTAATATTTAGTTCAGATTCTACCCTCTGACGCACTCTCACCTTCCCACCATCAAATGACCGCCTGTGCCCAGCATTGAATTTGGGTAACAGTGCCCCACCATGGAAAATAGAGTATTGCTGTGTTTGCCGTGTTTGCTGCTGAGAGTCCGAAATGGCAAACTGACCACTGCAGCCACTCCTGGATAGCACCCATGGCGTTTTTCACATTGTTGCAGAGCTGTGTTGTGGTGTTCGATGGCACGCTGGTTCCTACACATAGGGCTGTTCCCAGATAGGTACAAAATAGGGCATGAGCTGAGGGATGAGCCTTCCACCCGAGATCCTGTCCAGTGTCCATCTAGAGTGCTATAGTGGCAGAGGGTCATTTCATCACATTGTTTCTCTAATAGCCCCAGCGGTAGCATGCGTGGTTGATATGATTAGGGTTACATGTAGGCTTGTATCGACTCTGTAGCTTTGTAAGGTCCGAACTGTGTTTCACCGTATAGCTCTTGCCTTCCTAACCTTTCTTAAAAGTGTGCGTTGTAACTCGGAGCAAACCTCTTGATTCCCTATCAGAAGGGACCCTTAGCAATGAGCTCTGTAGATACCCAGGACCACTCTAACAGACTCCAGGGTATGAGAATCTCTCAGGCTAGAGAATGGAAAGTTAAAGAGGAAAACTAATAAAATCAGAAACACAGCATAGCTATGTGCGGCTGACACTCTCGAACAAGCATTCTTTAAAGAAAAGAACCCTGGTTCTTAATTATGACTCGCGGCTAACACATTCTCCTGAGCCGTGGAACAGACTCGGATGGTGAGGTTAACTACAGCCTTTTCTCTTAGTTGGTAGGTTAGCTTTCCACGGTATAAAGATAAAGAATTCTACGGAAATAAATGTCTCACTAAAACTGTAAAGTGCTCCATGAGGGTAACATCAATGATGGTAGTACCATCTCTCAGTATGTTAGCTAAGAGCAGGAAGTAAAAGTAAGCATGGGAAGGTTAAAATCACAAGCCTTCAACACGATAGAATATGAATATCTGAAGTATTTAACTAAAATATACATTTATGAACAACCATGTATATGTGCATAATGTAGAGAAAGGCTTAATGTTCAGCATTTAGTGTTTCATTCTCTTATGTGTTATCCTGTAAAATGTGTACATTTTTCTCATTAGAGAACATTGTATGTGTTAATCATGTATGCATGTGCATATAAATTATTAGCTACCTGCTTCCTTTAAGTTGGTAGAGAAAGGAGTGGTGAGGATTCTTATTGGAAAATACTATTATAACCTATACTTTTATAACCTATCATCACAAGAATTTGGGAACACTTTCTTACAATCTCAGGTGTTACTGGTTGTATTTTTTTATGCAGTTTGCTGTTTTTAAAAGCCTCATACTTTTTTAAAGCACAAGATAACTTTCAGTATAATGCGTATGCAAGCTCATTCTATCAGGTCCTCTTAATGTTACGGGTTAAAGGGTAAAGAGAAAAGAAAAGAGAAAAACAGTGTATAGTGCTGTGACTATGTGAATTAATATTCCTAGACGTGTGGTCTTGGGGAAGAATAATAAGCAAGTTCGTATTTCTTTCTTCTCTAGTCTAATTTCCTTGTAGTCTTATTTATAAAACACACTTCTGCACAGAGTGCTCTTTCTTTTGCATTCCTGAAGTACCTTTAAGAAGTATCAAGGGAGCCATTGCTTCCCTATTAATAAAATATAAATATATTAATAAAACATCTAACAGCTTAATATTATAATGCTGGAACGAATTCTAGCTCTTCGCAGTCTGAAAGGGCTAATAGTAGAGATGGACCATCCAGTTGTTCTTAGTAGATTTTCCTTGAGTTAAGGATTATTAAAGCAAAGTGGCTCAGCAAGTCAACGCACTTTGCTACCCAAGCCTTATAACCTGAACTGGGCCCTCAGAACCCACACAAACATGGAAGGAGAGAAGTAAACCCACAAAGCAGTCCTCTGACCTTCACAAATTAGCTGTAGCAGACATACACACAGCGACAATGATAGTAGCAGAATTAGTTAATAATTAAAGATTATGGAAGCATTTAAGTGACAAAACATGCCTTCTCCTCCCACCCTCCTGGAGCCTCTCCCTCTCTGGAAATGGTTGGCATCTCTCGGACGGACCATTACAAAACTCTTTGATTGTTTTACCTTCTGAGTCATTTCCACAGATAGTAGATAACATCTCAGGGCAAATGTATTTTTTCCTGATTCCTTTATTCTTTTATTGTTCACCTCAAGACAATTTTTAAGCAGTGTAACTCTTGTGCTTAAAATAACATAGACAATTCTGTGAAAATGAGAAGATTTAGCCTGTCTCCAGTGTGCCTACCCAGGGCGAACCACTTAATCTCTGACCTGTTTGGGGGAACAGCTGCATGGTACCATTAGCCCAACACGGCTAAGTAGGGTCACCCTAATCCAACAATTGTCAGGAATACAGGCTGGAGCAAAGTTTATTCTTAACCATTTACTTGTCTCCTCATCCTTAAGGAATGAAAAGAAAATCTTACTATGCTTTTAAGTGAGCAACATGCTCAATGTGTGTTGTTCTCCTGTGACCATCTGTTCACGGAACAGTCTCTCTATTATCTAAGTGGAAAGAGCCCTGGAGCAGGATGCATTATTGAAGCAAGCAGCTCCAATAAACCCTCGGCCAAAGGAATAAGAAATACAGTCTTTCCTCCTTCCACTGCTCTCCCATGCCATCTGATAGAAATGCCAGTGGGCAGCGAACTGGAGGAAACTGCAAAATTTGCCAAGTGGTCAGCCGGTCCTGGAATCAAGAGTTGACTGAGCTGAGTAATCTATTCAAACTAATTATGCCTACACAGTCTTTGTGTATATCTCTATTTTCAGAAACTGGGACATTTGCCATGTTTTTCTCTGATACTGTGACTGAGTAAATGCCGCTCTATAATGCTGTGTGATTTTCCTACGTAGGGTGAACCAGGGCTTCCTGGGCTGCCTGGACTTCCGGGAATAAAGGTAAATGCTCCACTGACAGATCTCAGACACCTGTAATGAGGGGTCACCGACAATGGAGAAAAATAGAGGGGAAAAAGTGAATATCGGTTATTAACTATTCCAAAGTTGTTTCAATGGATTAATTTTTTTTAACTGAAATTGAACATGGTGTTTAAAGCTGGCCATCGCCATTCAGACTATATTTCACTGTTAGCTCCATAATGTCCCTTCGATAAAAGTAGATTGCATTTTAAGTAAAATTGTGCAAGGATTTTAGAGTCTAGAAAGAGTATCTCTTTACCATTAACTCTTAACTTCATTCCTAAGATACTATCAAACTTTGACCAGAATTCATCTTAGCATCCCTGTCAATCAGACACTTGGACAGCCACGTATCTGATTCACCATTATAATAATCCTCTAAAATGCCATGCCTCTGCCTCCTGTCACTCTTGCTGAGAAACAGAAATCACATTGCTAAAATGTTTTGACCCAACACATGTGCTTTCCACATAAATTCTGTGTGTGTCTGTTCAAATAATTGCTTAAAGCTTGGGATTAAAACATTATTTTAAGATTTAAAAATTTGGGCTAGGGAGACATCTCAGAGGTTAAGAGTACTGAGTTCAATTCCCAGCAACCACATGGTGGCTCATAACCATCTGTAGTGAGATCTGATTCTCTCTTCTGGTGCAGACAGAGTACTGTATAAATAATAAATAAATCTTTTAAAATAAGATTTAAAAATTGTTAAGCCACTTAAAATGCTAAATTGTTTATTTTAATTTTTAAGACTTTTCCCAGGGTAACTATAAGACTTAATGTTCTATTACCCTAGCTTTAGTTACTCCTTTCAAATCAACTTCAGAAACATACATACTCACACACAAATATATATAACAGGATGATATCTTTCACTCTGAAATAAATGTTCTTGCCAGTTTTGTGTACTATTTTATAGTGTGTTAACTAAAGTTAGTATGATTCTACAAGTATTGAAAGTCCAGTGGTATTTATAATAGGTGATAAATGCACAGAAAAAAAAAACCTATATCTTCTAGGTTGGCACTCAGAAATTCTGATTCTAGCATTTTGTTGGCTGTTTCTAGATTACTATAAAAAGTTCAGGTTGTTTTTAATGTATGCTTTAGTCTGACTCTTAGGTAGAAAGTGCACTCTAAAATATGTTTCTGGAAGAGTCAAAGTCACTTACCTATCATTTGCTGCTTAGCAAGAATAACATCCTAACTTAATATTAAAGTTCATATTACAGGGTTAATTTATTGTAGTTATTTAGTAACTTCCATGCATAAAAGTGACAGCTTTTTTTTTTTTATAAATGACAAGATCATGATTTTTTTTTAATGATTTAAGGACGTGTTTCTGGGTGTTAATTAGAACCTGGTGGCATTACAAATCATAATGAAGACATTTGAGACAAAGGACACTGAAGGACAGGAAAGTCCCTACAGCAAGAACCCTGGCTTGTCAGGTTTACAGGCTCAGCTCAGGAGAGCCTTGGTGCTCTAAAGTCTGCTTGTCCCTTCTCCCGGGCTTTAGGCCCTCTGTTGATCAAGAAGAACGAGAATGAAAGCATCATTTTTCCACGGTGCAACACAGATAAATACACACATAGATCCAAAAGCTTCTGATAGCTGCTTTATTTGTTATCCTTGTCTTACATCAATGTTATATGTCTACATTGACTCTTGGTCTTTCCCCTAGTCACCCATGACCTATTCAGAAGGTCATGAGCTCTCAGGTTGGAACGGTTAGTTGTAAGTTGCCACCTCCAGAAAGTGCCAGCTTTCCCACAGCCCAAGAAAGTGCTAGAAATACTTTGTTGAGGTGGTTTGACTCTGATGCTGCCCTCCTTTCCCTGAGTGACAGTGATTGCACTGAGGAGAGGCTGACAATTAACAAAAATTCTTTATTATTTCTGGATGTTTCTCTGTGTGAGGATAGCACCATACTAAGGTCACTGTCTGGTGTTTGAGATGAATAATGAGCTCTAGTTTTTGGTTTAATAACATTTTTTCTCATTCTAATTCAAGGGAAAGATTATCTTTCCTTAAAATGTAGTAAGTGCTAAATACAAGTAAATAATTTTGGAGAAAAAGACAATTTAAGAACACATTTGAAGTAGTTAGTATTCATTGTACATTCATCAAAGTAGACTTAAAATTTTGTGATGTCACTTCATTAACTTGGGATACTCATTAATTTAATTTGCCTCGTTTCTGCTAAGGTGGCAGACTACAGTTCATTCTCATTTCATAGTTTAAGAAATTAACATGATTTAAACCTTGAAACCCTTATGTGTGACTTTAGGACCTGTTGTAACAAAACATCAGTCATGATTTTAGACCTGTGTGTTTGTTTATGCTTTGGAAATGTTTCCCATCGCTACTCACATCCTCCTTATCTGTGGCTACCACAGAGAACATTCACATGCCATCCGTTATGTCTAAGACACTGAGGAAACCAGCCATTACATACCAGGAGGCTTTGTTCACCACCTGTTGCTCTCGGGGAATAGTTGGAAACTTAATGAGCACCCACATGCCTTCCACAGCCCTCAGGAAATGAACCAAGTGCCTAAATACAGACAGCAGAGTCATCTATCTGTCACCTCAGTGTCCCACTCTGAGGAAAGTGCTAATACTGTAGGCATACGTAAAGGAAGTCACCAAGCCCAGGCATGACTTCATTTCAAACTGCTCTTAAGCTTCCTGTAGTATTTGAACGTCCTCTGACCATGTGGAAGGCATTTGGAATTCCTATTTCATGCATTCATGGTTCATATAGTGTCAAGATGTTCAACTGGGAAAATTAAATTATGTACAATGTACCGTGCAGAAATTGATCTTCTGGAATAAGATTTGAGCTTAGAAAATTAGTTTTATGAACAAGCTTCCAAAAATGTTGGAGTTTCTTCCCCCCTCACCCATCCCCATCAAGTATCTTAGTGGATAAAAAAGTTTGCACCTACCTTTTTTGATATCAGATAAAAAGGCAATATTCTAAGTTGTTATGTTTTTAAATCTTATTCTCAACACTTATTTTGAAAAATATTTGGTTTACTCATTCTTATGGTTCTGTTTTCCTCATAAATAAGCAGCATAGAACAGCAACCCTAGAGCAAATCAAATGCAAGTCTTCCCCAGCGCTGTGACTTACAGAAAGCTTTGTAATCTCCCTGTGCTTCGGTTCTCTTACGAGAATAGTGACCATAGCACAGAGTTCTGTCGTAAGAATGAAATGAATGAATATAGGCATAGCTCTTGAACTGTCACCCAGCATAGACCAAATGCCTGCTGTTGCTCTTTCTCCTGGGACAGATCAGAATATCAGAAACATTACTTGTGCACCAGTTCAATACAGTATTTCCCCATGCAAATAATTTTAACCTGTAGAAAATACAATCTAGTTATACTTTATATAAATAAAAATTATGGATCCTCCTTTAAAGGAATGAAGGAATGAAGCCTTCAAGAGCAAACTCCCTATTTTCTTACCACCTGAGTGTATTCCAGGAGTAAGAGGCAAGGGTGTACAATGACTTGAGGATGAGAATTATTACTGTGAACATTCTCCTAACTGATTGTTCACAGGAAAAGCAAAAAGACAACTTGACATATCTCATAATGGTGCTTGCCTTTCTGGGTCTGGGTTACCTCACTCAGAATGATTGTTTCCAGCTCCATCCATATACCTGAGAATTTCATAAATTTGTTTTTCTTGATGGCTGAATAATTTTTTGCTGTGTAAATGTACCACGTTTTCCTTGTCCGTCATCTGTTGATGGACATCTAGACTGTTTCCAACGCCTGACTAATGTGAGTGGAGCAGCAATGAACATAGATGAGCAAGAATGTCTATAGTAGAATATAGAGACCCTTGAAAACATTCCTAAGGGTGGTAGAGTTGTAGCATGTAGTAAATTTATTTTCAGCTTTTTAAAATTTTTATTAATTACAGTTTATTCACTTTGTATCCCACCTGTAGCTACCTCCCTCTTCCCCTCCCAATCTCACCCTACCTCCCTGTTCTCCACCTGTGCCCCTCACCCAGTCCACTGATAGGGGAGGTCTTCCTCCCCTTCCTTCTGATCCTAGTCTATCAGGTCTCATCAGGACTGGCTTCATTTTCTTCCTCTGTAGCCTGTAAGGCTGTACCCCCCTCAGGAGGAGGTGATCAACGAGCCAGCCACTGAGTTCATGTCAGAGACAGTCTCTATTCCAATTACTAGGGTTCACTTGGACACTGAACTGCCATGGGCTACATCTGTGCAGGGGTTCTAGGTTATCTCCATGAATGGTCCTTGGTTGGAGTATCAGTCTCAGAAAAGACCCCTGTGCCCAGATTTTTTTTTTGTTCTGTTGCTCTCCTTGTGTAGCTCCTATTGTCTCCAGGTCTTACTATTTTCCAGTTCTTTCATAAGATTACCTGCACTCTGCCCAAAGTTTAGCTAAAGCTTCTGTAAAGCAAAGGACATTGTTGTCAGAACAAAACGACTGCCTACAGATTGGGAAAAGATCTCCACCAACCCTGTATCTGACAGAGGGCTAATATCCAGAATATATAAAGATCAAGAAGTTAAACAACAACAAATCAAGCAATCCAATCTAAAAATGGGGTACAGAGCTAAACAGAGAATTCTCAATAGAGGAATATCAAATGGCAGAGAAACACTTAAAAGAAATGCTCAATGTCCTTAGTCATCAGGGAAATGCAAATCAAAATGACTCTGAGATTCCATCTTACACCTATCAGAATAGTTAATATTAAAAACTCAAGTGACAATTCATGCTGGAGAGGATGTAGAGAAAGGGGAACCCTCCTCCATTGCTGGTGGGAATGTAAACATGTACAACCACTTTGGAAATCAGTCTGGCACTTTCTCAGACAATTAGGAATAGTGCTTCCTCAAGATCCAGCCATACCACTCCTTGGCATATATCCAAAATATGCTCAAGTATACAAAAAGGACATTTGCTCAACCATGTTTGTAGCAGCTT